GACAGCAATATGAAGAAAAAGGGATCATCTATCATCACAACTTGCTCATCTTGTCTCATGGGTCTCTCAGCTGTGGGCAGGAAATTCAGTTATTGTTGTTGTTCTGTTTTACTTTTTTAATCTTTGTTGGATCAGAACTGCACTGTCTCCTCTTTGCCTGAAGTTATTAATACATATTATTATGAAGAATGCCACTTCATTATGTCTATATTTTAGCAAAAAGTTATTCACTGTAAAACCTATCTAGTGGTCAAATCTACATGAACTTCTGTAGTGTAGTAATCATGATATAAGTTTATAATCTACATAAATTTATCAGCTATGATTATTATCTTTCATTCACAAAACTGAACTGCAGGTTAGAGCTTCCACCATTCCAAAGGGGATGCTTAAATGAGACAACTGAAAGCCTCCATACAAACATATATTGAGCTTGTGCCTCAATAGAATCTTTCTGAAGCAAAGCAATTTTGCCATCATCTGCCAATCTCTTGAATTGAAAATAATCTGCAAAAAAAAGCACCAGTTTTAATTACACTTCATGCATTTCATCTAGACAGATTAACACATGCAGTTAGGGTCTATTGCAAAATGTTATTCTTCCCGATTCTTCCCAACTCATTCAGCTGGGATTGCAAGATTCTCGTTTCAAGTCAGTCCAGATATAGGACATTTTCAACAGCCTGATACTTGCTATGGTTTCCCAGGTCATAACCTGTTCCATGATTATTCCCTAATGTGACCTGCAATCTTAGCTGTTAGCAAACACTAGGTGAGATGACGCTAAGAAAAAGCAGCATGGAGGGCAGAACAGGGTGGAGGACCCATGGACAGACTCCATAATCTTTGCAGGGATGGGGACACAGTGATACTATTGGAACTGATAAGCTGCATTGTTGTAGTGAGCCAGCCATGAACCAGCAGTTTTCCACCTTTCTGTTTGACTAAAGTCACTCAAGCTCCATCTTAAAGTAAGAAAATAGTATACAAATGCCTTAAGAGAAGAGAAATGGAAGGGAAGATACCACTGCTGACTTCCAAGATCAGTCAATGGGCTGAGCTTCCCTTCCTCCCCATAGGGACACCTATTGGATAACACTTGCAAACAGAGTTGTGCAGAGTGCTGCCCATGGGAAACTTAGGAATATGTTGTACAGAGTCATTCCCTAATTTAATGCATTTGCAGTTGGAAACATCATTCTTATTTTCAGTCAACCTCATGTGCTTTGCACACAGCTCACTTACCAACAGCAATCCAAAATAACCTGTACTCCTGTTCCTTTAATAAGCTGCACTGTTCACTAATCCAGCCATGAGAGTTCTCATTGAATGCTGACAATTTCCTTAAGGGTCATTGTGAGAGCCCATTTGAACATGACTAGATGAATTGGTCAGTGCGCTACTTGTGAATCCATAATTGTGATAATGCTCTACTGAACGTGATCAGACTTAGAGTGTTGAATTGGACGTCATCCAGAATCTAAGCCTAGCCACCCCTACACTCTGATATCTGAGTACAAGCTGGAATACAAATGGGGTTATTTTCTGCCAAACTTCTCAGTGACTACTAACTTCAAGTACTGGAAACCTTCAGTGGACAGGTTCAGTGCAGGTCTGAGAGAAACTTTTGCAATTTGGCTAACTACAGTTTCCATATCTTATTTTGTCCAATAGAGTTCACCATATAAAATCAAATTAAAAGTCCGCTGTGTTTGTACTTGACCTTTCCCATCTGTCAGCTTATTCCAGAATACTGTTTTCATGCACAAAAGCATACAGAATCATAGAATGGCCTGGGTTGAAGAAGACCACAATCATCTAGTTTTTACTTTCCTGCTCGCCAACCACCAGACCAGGCTGCCCACAGGCACATCCATCCTGACCCTGAATGTCTCCAGTCTTTCTGGGCAACCTATTCCAGCGCATCACCACCCTCTGTGTGAAAAACTTCCTCCTAATATCAACCTAAACCCCTCATTTCTCAGTTTAAAACCACTCCCCCTTGTCCTATCATTATCTACCCTTGCAAACAGTTGTTCTTCCTCCTGTTTATACACCTCCTGTAAGTACTGGAAGGCCACAGTGGAGGTCTCCCCAGAATCTTCTCTTCTCCAAGCTGAACAAGCTCAGTTCCATCTGTCTTAATTTCAACTGGGATGGAATTGTTTACTTCAAAGTGTTTGGTATGATGCTATGTTTTGTTTCTAGGAGAAAAACAATGTTGATAACACACCAATGATTAGAGTAGCCTGCTAACCAGTGTTGCATAGAGCCAAGGCCACTCTCAGCAAAGAGTCCAAGGAGCTGGGAAGGAACAGAATCAAGACAGCTGTCTTAAACTTGCCATATGATATACCATATAACATCAAGTGGAAGGAGTTCTGAAGGGGGTGTCAGTTCATCTTGTTCTCTTCTGCTGATAGTGGGGCTAGCTGAGCATCAGTCGGGGAATAGTGAGCAATTACTTATGCATCACTTATTATAATACATATACATACACATATACATTTGTCATAATTATTATCCTTTTCTCTATCTTAGTAAATAGTTTTATCTCAACCCACAGATTCTACTTCATCTTTTTCTATTCTCTCCCCATTCTGCTGGGAAGCAGATGAGTGAGTGAACAACTGTGTGAAGCGCAGCGACCTGCTGGATTAAATCACAACAAGGTCCTTTGTTTTGTTTGTTTGTTTGTTTGTTTGTTTTCCTTAAGTTAATTTCCTGATAATAACAAAACTATAATAAATTTCCCAAAGTACATCTTTCCTCCATACATGTCTTATGGCTGCCTTCACTTTGCACAGAAATATGTCTTAAGCTACAATTACAAATTCATGTGGATAAAACTGAATGATTTATAACAATATATTAAATATTACATAGGAAAAGAGAAGAGAAATTGTATACTTATATTCACAGCGCAGCTTTCATTGTTGCATATTCTTTATTCCTCCCAGAAGAGTGTTACTCTTACCTGCACTAAGCTCTATCTTCTGGTTTGTCAAAAGACTTCTGTGAAAGTAGAGAATGGGATCCTGTCCCTTTTGTATGCATGCAGGAGCAGATCTTTAATTGTGAGCTTGATCCTATGCTCAGTTTTCTTTGGGTGCAAGGACAAAAGGAAGCTGTTCTGCTTCAGCACCTCTGGAAACTACAAAAGGATTTCTTTAACTTACAGATCTGATGTCACATTTCTATGGGCTTAAAGGCAAGAGGACGCTGAATGTAATGACTCCATAGCACTCTATGGAGAAGGCCCTGAAACAAATATGATGCAGCTGACATAAAATGAAGATTGAATGCTGGCAAGAATATTCTATGGCTCACAGCTTAGGTAACTTTTGCTGCAAAAAAATCCTCTACAGAAAAGGAACTGATAAAAAAGAACTTCCTGAGAAACTCCTTGTGCTTTAAAGTGGTCATTATTGTCTGAGTCAAAGATTTAGGTAAATCTTCAACATTATGCTTATTTGTTCTATTTCAATATGAGTAAATATATTCACCAGTAGTTCCGTCTCACTGACTCTGGCTGTTTGACTTGACTTACGCGCTTATGAAGACGTTCTGCTTCCTCCTGATATGCAGCAAGCTGTTGTTTCCATTGTTTTACATTGGCAGTGGACTCCAGCAGGGCTGCTGTGAGCTTAGCATTATTACCCTTGAGCGTGGCCAGTTCTGCTTCCCAATGCTTGCTGATTGTCGAACTGCAAGAACAGAATGAGAATCCTTAGACACCTCTATGACTAAATGTTCAAATGAGAATGCAAGTGCTCAAATATCCAAGCTTTAAATGCAAAAAATAGTCATCAACAGAATTCTTAATATAAATATGTCATTACTGGAAAACAACCTCTAATCTCCCAGCTCAACAGTTATTTTGTTTTAATAAAATGTTAAGGATGATGAAATACACATCAACTTCCCAAATGCAACACCTCGTAATTTTACCATATGCATATGATTAGTCATCATTTTAACATATATGTATTAAGTGCTTTTTCAACCTATTCCTTAATGAAAGATATTGTAGAAAGAGATCTGTTACAAGAGAAATAATATAGTGCTTTGGAACTACAGCTTAGTAGCCCTAATTCAAGCCTTCTGTGACTGACATATACTTTATACTTCCTTTTTTAAAATTAATTTATAATTAAAGTTCGAAGATCTTATATTTCAACATCGTAATACTGTTAATTATTCTTCAGTAATATTGGCAAAGAAGCTAAAGATCAAGAACCACAGAGATTTTTTCCATTACTGCAAACTGATTCTGGTGGTGGGGTTTATTGAGCTGCTTATGGAGGAACAATTCTTGCCTATAGTTTAGTTATTATCTGAGCAAATACAGGTCTTTAGTTTTCAAAGATAATTAGTCATCCATCATCTGTAGACTCCATCCTTATACTGAGTATGCAAAGGAAAAAAAAATGTCAGACCTATCAGGTGAATGTATTAGTATTCAAACAGGTCATCATTGTTTACTTTTATAAAGACAGCAGCATATGAGGTGCACACCTACATGGAACATACAGAGAGAAAATAATTCCTTTTGTCTAATCAGGTTACTGTTAAAAGCACCATTGAAAACCAAAGATTTGTAACTTTGGTCAAAATGACTTTGCATTTAAGGTGAATTATGAGTAATTATTGTAGTCTATTTCTCATTATTATAATGCAATATGTTTAATTATATTTTGCATTTAAATTTATAGGTTTATCTGAACTTTGCATATAGAAGCAATGAAACATTCTGCCACCATTTTACCCACTAGGTTTCTTTTTTTGCAATTGCATATGCATAGCCCGTCCCACAAAAGCATGTTTCAGAAACATGATAATTCTTAGAGAACTTCCTGAGGTGTTCAAAGCCAGCCAGTCATCAAGTAATATTCATTATCCATTCAGATCACATTTACTGTTTCACTAACACGGGATGTCTGATTCTTCCATGCTCCAGCATTTTCTTCCAAGTATATTGTGACATCCCCGTGAACAGGAATACAAGTTCTTTCAGAAGAGGAACGTGGGTTCTTTCAAATTGTTCTAGCATTGCATGAACTATTCAACTAATTAGAAGTTTGCCACCAAAAATTTTAAATTTTAAATGACTAAACTAATAATCCCATTTCATCAGGGAACACTGACTCACATATTAAAGAAGATGAGAACAAATTTTTGAAGCAATGTCTATGCTTCTGTTTCTCTTATCAAATTTTCATCTACAATAGCACATCATATCAACAAATTCTGTGAAAATTCTAGTTCATCATCACATTCCCATTTCTTTCTGGATGTTCTGATCTTGCAAACAAATGACCACACCAACAGGTTCATGCAATTGGCTATATTCAATAGCTCCAACACAGCAGGACAAGTAGCAAACTGTGTGTGACACCATTCCTGCTTACAAAATGTATCATAATACTCATCTTTCCTCAAGAAGAATTACACACACACAAGACTATATTCAGTTAACACAGCGGATTATAAACTATGTGTCTTATTATTATTACAGAGGTGAACCGTTTGACCACTTCATATCACAATTGAAGACACTAAAAGGGAGATGAAGGGTTTAGCTTGCACTGTGTATACTCACAATGGTACAGGTAAGCTTTCATAAGCTCAGAAGATCTCAGAAGACAGAGTCCAAATTAATGCTGAGTAACCATGTGAGTGGGTTTCACAGTGTCTCACTTTCACCTTTGCTCAGTACCCTAACTATCCTGACAAGAATCCTGCTCATATCTTTTACAGATAGTGCTACTGCTCCATAAAATAGAAGTATATTACTTAAATCAGTCTGTTGTGTACTGTCACATATAAAACTAATTTTTCAATTACTTAGGATTATCCTGTTTCTTCTCATAAAAGTCCGCATTCTCCCACATAAAATACAACGTGATGGATATCAATATGAGAAAACAAAGAATCAAAGGCATGGATTATTTTTTTGTATTAACATACTTCTTAAAATCGTAATCTGATTAAAATAGCCTGCAACCCATTGTAGGAGTGCTGATTTAGCTTTTTCAAACAACATATTGAGAAAAAAAGAAGTATGCTTTGTGGATTATTTTTATTAAAACTGGACTTATTTAGATTTAAATTAATTATTTTAGGAACTGATAAAATGTACAACAGGCTGCTCTCAAACCATATTAAAATTACCTGTATCAAGGTCTATACCTACAGGGCTACACTAGCTCAAATTTATCTACAGCTCCAGAGTAAAGAAGGAGAAAGACAAACTTTAAGCTCAACAGCAATTCTCCCTTAGGATAGAAAACTATGGGGCTGAGACCTGGGGTGGGAAACATACAGGTCAGAAGCTGAAAGCACACACACAGGTAATCCAAAATCATAACCAAGCCTATGGCTAGCACTGCAGTCCCTCAGGACACGTATAAGAGGGCTACACATACTCTTTAAAGCCTTTTATTTAACTACTGATTGAAATGCTTTTTGCTAAAAGGAATTGATTTTGCCCTCAGTGTATTAGAGTGCATCATAGGAAATACCAGCAAAGCTCTGTCTTAGTGTAGTCTTCATGGCTGCAAACATCTGAAACAAACACGAATATATTTGCTCATCTGAAATGGGAACATGCATTCAGTGGTGAAAGTGATCCAAACAGCAATGCAGCTCCTGACAGAACACACTGAAAGGTGTTCTGCACTGCAGCTCAAAGAGCAGAGCAGTCTGTGTACACGGGATGACATGAGCACAAACATATTTGCAGCTTAAGGATTTGACATGCCTAACTATGTTTTTTTGCTGTGTTCTGAAAGCCATGCACCCTTTTACTGGCACTACCACGATTTTAATACACATTTCTTCAGTCCTGTCACAGTTAACAACACTGGATTCATGGCACACTTAAAGTTTTAAGATGGTTTTTCAAAAAAAGAAACACCCTTCACACTTTGGCTTGTTGCCCCTTTCTCATCATGAAAAGTTCTACTGCATGCTTGCAAGTATTGTAGCAGAAGATGAAGCCTAGTAATTTCCTTTGTGAAAATTCTGAGTGTCTGAACACAAGATAACAAGCTGTTTTACAAACAGCTGCATCAGTACTTCTGCAGCAGCAGAGTATAAACCAATTACAGGAGAGAAAATGGGCCTGTAATGGCTAACAGTAAAACAGGAGTATTATTGCTTTCACTGACCACAATGTACAAAAATTGTTTCCATAAGAAAGGCTTAGATCATACTGATTGTAAGTAGAATTATCTTCACAGTGTCGACAGTTCATGGGATTGTGAGCACTTCATAGTAAGTAAACATTCCCAGGACCTCTGATCCTTGGTGTTGGCCACCAAATCTCTTACGTGGGTAATATCTGAGACCTCCACAGCCAGAACTGTGCCTGGTGTCCACCTTCAAGGCTAAGGCTTCAACATCAGATATTTAACTTCTGTAGCACGCAGTACTTTTATCCCTGCTTTAACATGCTCCTACAGCAAAGCACTGTCTAGTATCCTATAGCATAACTGAGACATCCCTGAAAATTAAAGTAGGGTTCAATGATCTTGCATACCTTTAGGCATTCTGACCAATTAACACTGAGCTGATCTCTGTTCTCACTGGGTATTGGTTACAACTCCAGTAAGTCACCGAGGAATAGCTTTGCTATCTGTCCATCTGTGACCTGAATAGAATGCCAGAGGCTATAAATGAGAATCTTTCTCTGTGAAGTAGGTCGCTTACAGAAAATTAATCCTAAAATCTCCAGTCACCATGTTTAGACAGTTGGAGAAGACTTGCACAGGCAGGGGCAGGGAGCACACATTAATGAGCTGCATTCAGAATGAAGTTATTTCAAGAGATGCCTTCAAGAAACAAAGAAACAAAAGCAGTCCAAATCAAGAGATGTTTTCTGAGATATTGCTTATTCATTACCTGCTGCACTGTAGGCAATATCAGCACTGTAAAACACAATTTAAGCTTTACTTTAGATTTAAAGAAGGGTGTGCAGAATTATGCTTTATTACTATTCTATGGCTTTATTACTAGACATGTTGCTTTAAACTGAACTAATTAAAAATTGGTTTTCCTACTCTACTGTAGTCACAGTTGCAAACCATTGGTCAGGGGCAAGTACATTCTTTTGGTGTCACTGATCTGCACGATAGAGGTATGATGAGAGTCACTGTCTTGGGATGACAGAAATGGGAAATTTGGTTGAATGGAGACTGGAGTACTTTCACTACAACATTTGGCATCTGGTAATAGTAACTAGCTCCACAAGACTTGATACACATGAATGAAGCAGAGTCTCTGCAGCTGCTGTTCAGATTATAAATAGTGGCTGGAAGCAGACCAAGAGCCTGGTGGAATGGGCACTACCAGTCAGCAGGAGAGGAACATCAGCTGGCTGCTAGCAACGTGTTAGCCATGCTGAAAGTAAGGAGCAATCCTTTCTGACAGCTCTGCTGGTGAACTGTACAGAGCAGCTCATCAAGCTCAGGGAAGTGAAGGGGACTTGTAATGATTTTGCTCTCTTACAACAGTATCAGATAGCTCTAGTGAAATAAGTCAGTGTTGCTTCTTCTTCCCTTCAGAAACACATGGTAAGGGTTTGAATTTACATAAAATTCTTGGGTGAATCTTGTAAGGAATTCTGCCCAAGATCCTTATGAAATGTGTCATGTGAAATAAAGTCCTGCAAATGTTCTTCCACAGTGCTGTGAGAACAGTTACT